CCTTCATCAGATGAGAGGCGGGCTTGGGCACAGCGGCGCTTCTGCCTCAGAGCTGATCACTGCTCCCCCACCTTCCATCTCCTGAAGTGACCTGCCCGCAGCCTCTGTGACATGCCTCCACTGCTCTTAGGCCCACTGAGCAGTCCCTTAGTCGCCTCTGTTTTTAATAAAAATCCAGGGAGATTTAATTATGGGGCACTTGATTGGACCCTGATACTCTGCTGAACTCTGGTGGAGACGGAGAGGAAGATCTAGGCCTTGGGCTTGATGAGTCCACACTTCAGTTTATCAGAGGAGGCACGTATATAGGCACGTATATGCAAAGATGGCAGAGGCTGAAGTTGTGTACAAGGACTGTGTTAGTTTCCTGGGGCCACTGTAACACATTACCATAAAGTTAGTGACTTAAAACAACACAGATTTTATTTTCTTTCAGTCCTTGAGCTCAGTCCCAGTGGGCTGGTAGGGCCACATTCCTTCTGGAGTTCCTAGGGGAGAATCTGTTTCTTTGCCTTTTCCAACTTCTGGAGACGGCCTGCTCATAGCCCCTTCCTCCATCTTCAAATCCTGGAAGTAGCATCTTCCATTATTCTCCTCTCCCTCTCTCTCTCTCTCTCTCACCTCTGCTTTGTCATCCATCACTTTCTCTGATTCTGACCCTAACCCAGGATAATCTCCCATCTCAAGAGCTTTAATTTAATCACATCTGCAAAGTCCCTTTTGCCATGTCGCTAACATTCATTTAACATACGCAGGAGGACTAGGACTTGTATGTCTTTGGGGACATTATTCAGTCTATCACAGGATTAACTGAAAATGAACAAAGAGTGTGTAGGTTATTTACTTGATATATAGTGTGGTATGAATTTGGGGGCAATAAGGGGAACTGGAGAGCACCTCTGAAGTCAGAGCCCACGTGGAATGGGAGCAAGAAGGTGTCTGAGGAAAAGGAATGAAGAGACAGTATGTGTGTAGTGGGACTGTGGGGAGGGGAGCCGAGGGGCCCTCGGCCGTGGACTTGTCTGGCCCAGGTGGAAATCACAATTTAGAATATGTGGGGAGAGCATAGGTAGATGGGGCTCCTGAGTGAGGTGGAACCTACGTACCACTCGGAAGCATTTAGATTTGATCTGTGGTGACAGAGGCTGCTGTAGCTGGCAGTGTGACACAGCATTAGTTCATACTCTATGAGCAGCATGAATGGGTTCATACTTTATATACAACTTGAATATGACTCAAGAATCAAAATCAGAAGCAGGCTTGGAAAAAAAAGCAGCAGAATAAGCCAGTGGACAGGAGGAAAGGATTGGTTTAGGGAATCCTTGTAAAGAATACTTGAGGAATATGCTAGAAAGTCTGAAGAGATTCACTGTGTGTTGCCTAAGAGGCTGGAAACATTTGCCTGGGGGTAGGCTCCCCCAGTGTCCAAATGAAATGTCCAAAGGCAAGGGCCATGAGGGAAGCCGGCCTTAGCAGGGCTCTGTCGGGTTGGTCAGAAGGCTTACACTCATTCACACAACTGGAATTGCATCTTTGATAAGAAAACCCAACTTCCCTAGACATGGTTGTTTAAGGCCCCCAGGACACATGCGTGAAGTTGAACCCATTGCACTTTTGTTGTGGGCTACAGAAACTTAGGTAAAGGTTAATTAGTGCCACACTTAGCCTTCTGTGGTAATTTTACATCTCCTAAAGCTTTATCACCACCAGTATTCATTACTTATTGATCCTTTTTTATTTTTCTTATGCTATTAGACTCAGTTCCAAGAAAGGAAAGCTCGGTCGTGGGGGTCACAACAGCCGGTATTTAGGCAAAAACAGTTTGGGCCCAGGCAATCCTTTTGCAGTGGAAGAGGCATTTTGCAGCATCTAGGGTATTTGGGTAATGTTGGGGTGGAAGGTAAAGCATATTTGAGGTTCTGTTCTTTAACCCCCCCAAGAAATGATAAAAGGTATGCTTTGAAACTTTGATGTTCTCCTGTCCTCAGGTTTTCTGTAGAAGGAATGCCAGGAACAAAGACGTTTTCCTTGATTGTGTTGCTGAATCAGGCTGCTGATAACCCATGCGGCAGTCATATTGTCGTCTTTAGAGCTTTGTAGGATTGATTGCCTGGTTATAGCTGCCTCGTCTGCAAGGCACCTAGCTGTGCCAGGCTCGGCCAGAAGTGCACCTTGTTCTCCACCTTCCCCAGCCTTCCCCTTCCAGAGTGTTTGGATTGTCTGGACTTCCTCTGACTGAATGGCCAGTGGACAGCCCACTGAGGCCTCCTCAGCCTGGTCAGAGAGGGCAGCAACTCTCCTGTCACTTCTCACTCTGCTTTTCCTCTTTCCACTGACTCAAGGCGTTGTTTAGCCTCAGAAAGCTGCTCCTGTCTGCTCCCCATCTTTTCTCTCACGTTTTCTTTGCTTTCTCCACTGGTTTCTGTGCCAGCACATTTTCCTCGGAGGATCACAGCGGCTGTTGGAGCTTGGGATTTCTGTCTGTGCTCTCATTTCAGGAGAAGGTTGTATTTATTACTCCTGAAAACAGCAGGGATAATGGGAACTAATACCTTAGTGGGAGGGTATTAGTAAAATAATGCATTTTACTCTTTGCACCTGAAATTTGTATTTTCATTAAAATAATACTATATACAAAGTTTTTTAGCCAATAGTTCCAAAAGACCTATAATGAAAAATTCAGTAATCTCCTCTAGCACTCCCAACTCCTCCAGCTGTTTCTCTTAATATTTACCTTCATGTTTCCAAATACCCTCCTATGGCTCTGTCAGGAAGTTCCGGACTTCCCCCTCTGTGGGAGGAGTATTTAATGTCCTTAGGCACCCCCCGCAGCTTTTGCTTGGAAATACTTTCTGCCTTGTGCTTGTCCAAGTTCATCCCAAGTAAGCGGCAAGGCAGATTTCCTATTGTCAGTTGAGTCATTTGACTCTTCTTAGTGGTTCATACCAGAACATTTCTTGAATACTAAACACGCCAATCACTGAACAAACTACATTAAAAAAGACTCTTTCTGGGTCGTAGAGCCCAGTGCGGTAATAAGGGTGGACTGAAGACTCGCAGGACACTTACAAGAAGCCAGGAGTAGTTTGTTGCTGTGGCCTTCCTAGAAGGTTCAGGATATCTTAAACTTAAGCGGAAACTGGGGCTGTGAATAAACTTAGGACTTCTTAGGAGTCTGTGGTGGGCGGGGTAGTCTTATCTGCCCTTTCCTAGAAAATACATAAAGGGCTGGGAGTTATTTGCCAACCGGAAGCACATGTTCTCTCACACCTCATTCCAGTAATGCTAAATCTAGCCGTCATTAGCCAAGCAAAGAAGGCAGGAAAGAGATTCCAAGGCCAAGAGCACTTCTGAACTGAGCACTCCATCCAACACGGGGCATACTCGGGTTTTCTCTCCACCCCTGCCCCTCAGTGACTCCTGGAGCATACTTGGGGCACAGGGTTCAGGTGACTTGCAAGTTCTTCTGCGTCACTGATAAGATCAGACTGGTTCTTGGAAAATTTTTACCTTGGGAAATTCCAGTTGTCAAGGATTCCTATAGAGCAATATGTGGCAGATAGGCTATGGGAGGGAGAAAGAGAAAGGTTTTTTGAGGGGGAAGCCTGAGCAATTCCTTTAGAACAGGTTAACTCACCCAATGTAGCCTGTCCTAACTTAAGAAAAACAGATGAAGTGAAATAAAAATCACGAGATCATAATGAGCAAAACTGAGAAAACAGAGAAGTGACTCACGAGAACAGGCTTTTCATAAAAATCAAGAGTTTCTGAATGTCTGTGGAGTAATCATAAAAGTAAACCTGAAATTATTTTGTCTGAGTTCCTTCCTTCATCCATTCAGACATTCGCTCTGTGCGCGCTGGTGCCAGCATCATGCAGGCCCGTGGCAGGCCCGGACTTGCTCTAGGACGCAAAGGGCCCCGAGGCTGACTGACGGAAGGATCTGTGGGTGGGGAGGAGGACCCTGACCAGGATGGGGTGTCCTGGGGAGTGTCAGCACCTTCCTCCCACCCCCTCGAATCTCACATAGGACAGGTGAGCTAAGATCTTGAGGTTGGGGATGCTGTCATTTAGGCAAAGAGGGTAGGGGAGTGGGAGAAGATTTTCTGGGCAGAGAAACAGCCTGTGTGAAGTCCCCAGGGCTGGAGGAAAGGAGATGTACTTGAGGATGTGAAGGCAGGTTGGGGTGACTAGAGCTCTGGGAGGTGAGGCTGGAGGGCTTGGCTGGGAGATAGCCGCAGGCGAGGATGTGGTGCGGGAGAAATGCCACGAGTCCTCTGTGGTGGGGCAGCCCGTCTGCGAGTGCTGGCTGTAGCCTGCAGGGGTAGCTGGGCAGGGGCTGCCCTTTGGGTGGTGGTCAGAGCTGTGGATGGATGCAGGGAGGCGGGAGGGGGAAATCGATAGCATTTGACAGATTGGAGATGAGGATGGGGGGGAGGGAGAGATCCAGGGTGGCCCTTAGGTTTCTGACCTATAGAATGTGTAGAATGAATGACATTCCACCACCACCCCCCTTTTTTTTCTAAAAGGAATCCTAATGGTTTCTACAACAAGTACTTTCAGTAAACTTTTACCTGAGGGCTGACATATTTGCTTATGGAAAATCTTTAAGGAATGAAGTGGGCAGTGGGAGATGGCTTTTATTATGGGAGGGGCATGAACACCAAAGTGGGGGACCCCAGAAGCCCAGAACTTCAAGCGTGAACATTGCCTGCAACTGATAGGTTGAGTAATGATGGAAGGAAGGATATAAAGATGCTCCTGATAAATTTTTTAAAAGTCATTTGAATGAAAGATGAGAAGCAGCAATGGAAAGAAGCATACTATACGGAGGGTATAAAGCATGGCCACATTTCTGTAGGAAAACTGGAAAGTCTGACCAGAGTTTAGTGTTTAAGGAATATCCTTACCCAATGATCATTCCTCTGAAACTAAAGCTGGAAATTTGGGAAATTATATTTTTATAAGATGGCAAAACCAGACTTGCTTTCTTTTCTAAGGTGATTGATATGCCTGAACACAACCCTGGTGATTTGGGAGGAACAATGAGGCTGGGAATAAGAAGAACTGTTTTCAAAACGGAAAATTCAATATTAAGTAAGTGTCTCAGATCATTTGTTTTTACAAGACGTTGTGGTGGTTCGCCTGGCTGGCGGCCCAGCCCTCTTTGAGTCCTGACCCCACCCTGCCCCTTCTCTCACCCCCACTTCCCTTCCAAGTGGCCTCCCGCCTGGCTCCTCCCCTCCCCTGTCTCCCCATGCCCTCCTGTCCTCCTGCTTCCTGACCCCTTTCCCTGGGAGGGCTGCTAGAACACACGTGAATGCCCTTCTCCTTTGATTGCCACCACACCCTGTCCAGCAGACTATTCTGTGATTTCTCCATGCCCCTGGGAGTGACCTTGCACTGGGCGAGCGTGAATCAACCTCAGTTCTTTCCAATCCAGAGTTCTCTCCACCACATTGAAACCAGCTCTCTGTTAAATTGTTTCGTGTCTGACTGGTGTTAGCCACTAATTTATGAACTGCCTGAGGCGGGCAGTTATGTCTCGGCAGTATATTTCTCTGCTCCCCCAGTAGCTCCAGCATGGGAGAGGGAAATATGATGTGGCTCACTCTCTGACATTTCCTGATCTTCCACTCCTGGTTAGGTTATTCTAATTTATGTGGAACTTTTCTTCCAGAGGTTAATGTATTATATGAGACTGAGCGAATGTAAAAAAATACCCAAAGCCCCTTAATCCAGTTTAGTACGTATATCTTGAGAGCTCCCTCTGTGCCACATGCATTGTGCCAGAGTCTGCAGACAGAGTAGTGAGCGAGACAGATCCCAGGCCTGCTCCCACCAGTCCCTCAAAACAAGTGGAAAATGTGATGCAAGGGGACATACATGCAAGGTGCTAAAAGGGCCATTTGCAGAGGAAGGAAACCTTAGAAATATGCCGTACTCAGAGGAGACTAAGACCAGAAACAAATTGCTCCTTTAGGGATGATAAACAGCTTCGAAACAGTATAAAGCTTCCTAGTATGAGTGAAATTTAAGAAGGCAAACTTTCAAAGTGCCCCACATTTCCCTACTTTCTCTTGATAGGAAGCCCTTCCCTAAGGAACTTTTTTCTTTAAGGATGTTAGGATCTTTTCTCTGCGTGGGTATTCTTTGGCTTTTAGACATTTTCAAATACTTTGAAACTTTGTCCAAATAATTGCCTAAGTGATAGATAAAGCATGGTTAGTGAGAAATTTAATGTTTTACAATCAGATCTTCTATAAAAGAGTCAGTGATAATCGTACGAAGCTTTTTAAAAGGAGCATTGTGTTCAATATATTTAAAATTTGGTCTCTCTTGATGGAAATTTATTTTTCTTTACACTAGACATAAAAGTAGTGTTGATGATTTTTATGAATCTTAACAGCAAATCTTGTTGCTTAGTTAATATCCTTTGCCTGTCTTGAAAAAAAATTATAAACAGCTTTATTGAGACACAATTTGCATACCATGCATTCCTCTGTTAAAAGTGTACAGTTCAGATAGGGTATTAAAGATGGCAGTGTGAGAGTTGAAACAGAGACCTCCATCTAAAACCACGTATAATATGAAAATATAATTAATACAACTAATCCTGAAAGATCAACAGGAAAGAAGACTGCACCAGACTGCATACATCTGGAGAAAAGAATAAACATCACAGAACACAGTTGAGAACTTTCACAATATTCAGACGCTCCAGCACCTTGGCTGGCTTTGCAGCTCCGAGGTCCCCCTCTGTGATACACATACTGCTGTGCCTTCCTCTCATACAGCCTGCACCCGGCTCGCAAACCGGCAAACTCTGCCTTGGCGTTAGGCCAGCCAGAGGGAAACCCTGCCTACAGCAGCTACAAACGCAAAGCGTAGAGGCTTATACCTGTGTGCTCAGCCCACTGGTTCTGACAGTGGAGGCAGGCATAGCAGCCAGGAAGCAGGAAACACTCTTTCCTCCCCCCAGGCACCAGCACTGCACCCCTGCAACCCCAGACATCGCTCCAGGGGCTGAGCAGCTCCAGAGAGTAGAGCTTCTGGGCACTAGAGGGCACCACATACAAATATGAAATGTCAAACGAACCTGGTTCAAAGCAAAATCTCAACACCACCAGAAAAACGGGTGAGTGAGACTGAACTAATCGATCTTCCTGAAAGAGATTTCAAAATAAAAATCAGAAACATGCTCTTGGAGGTAGAGAAAAATATTCAAGAACTTGAGGACAAATTTAGGACAGAGATCCAATTGTTGAAGAGCACAGTGGAGGGTATTAAAAGCAGATTAGGTACAGTGGAGGAGACAATAAATGAAATAGAAACTAGAGAAGAGGAATACAAAGAAGCTGAGGCACAGAGACAAAAAAGGATCTCTAGGAATGAAAGAATATTGAGAGAACTGTCTGACCAATCCAAATGGAACAATATCCGCATTATAGGGGTACCAGAAGAAAAAGAGAGAGAAAAAGGGATAGAAAGTGTCTTTGGGGAAGAAATTGCTGAAAACTTCCCCAATCTGGGGAACGAGAGAGTCTCTCAGGCCATGGAGGTGCACAGATCTCCCAACACAAGCGAAAGAAGGAGGACAACACCAAGACATATAGAAATTAAAATCACAAAGATCAAGGATAAGGACAGACTACTAAAAGCAGCCAGAGAGAGAAACAAGATCACATACAAAGGAAAGCCCATCAGGCTAACATTAGACCTCTCAGCAGAAACCTTACAAGCCAGAAGGGTGGGGCATGATGTATTTAATGCAGTGAAGCAGAAGGGCCTCGAACTAAAAATACTCTATCTGGCAAGATTATCATTTAAATTTGAAGAAGGGATTAAACAATTTCCAGATAAGCAAAATAGATGCAAAAATACTCAACAAAATGCTAGCAAACTGAATTCAAAAATACATCAAAAAGATCATCCACCATGATAAGGAGGATTTATTCCAGGGATTTAAGGATGGTACAACATTCAAAAATCCATCAACATCATCTACCACATCAACAAAAAGAAGGACAAAAACCACATGATCATTTCCATACATGCTGAAAATGCATTTGACAAAATTCAACACCCATTCGTGATAAAAACTCTCAACAAAATGGGTATAGAGGGCAAGTACCTCAACATAATAAAGGCCATATATGACAAACCCACAGCCAGCATCAGACTTCACAGTGAGAAGCTGAAAGCTTTTCCTCTAAGGTCAGGAAGAAGACAAGGATGCCCACTCTCCCCGCTTTTACTGAACATAGTACTGGAGGTCCTAGCCATGGCAATCAGACAACACAAAGAAATACAAGGCATCCAGATTGGCAAGGAAGAAGTTAAACTGTCCCTGTTTGCAGATAAAATCATATTGTCATAAAAAACCCTAGAGAATCCACTCCAAAACTTGTAGATCTAATACCTGAATTCAGCAAAGTTGCAGGATACAAAATTAATACACAGAAATCTGTGGCATTCCTATACACTAATGATGAACTAGCAGAAAGAGAAATCAGGAAAACAATTCCATTCATAATTGCATCAAAAAGAATAAAATACCTAGGAATAAACCTAACCAAGGAAGTGAAAGACCTATACCCTGAAAACTACAAGACACTCATGACAGAAATTAAAGAGGACACTAGTAAATGAAAATTCATACCATGTTCTTGGGTAGGAAGAATTAATATTGTCAAAATGGCTATCCTGCCTAAAGCCATCAACAGATTCTGTGCAATCCCTATCAAAATACCAATAGCATTCTTCAATGAACTGGAGAAAATCGTCCTAAAATTCATATGGAACCACAAAAGACCCTGAATAGCCAAAGCAATCCTGGGAAGGAAGAATGAAGCTGGGAGGATTACGCTCCCTGTCTTCAAGCTCTACTACAAAGCCACAGTAATCAAGACAATTTGGTATTGGCACAAGAACAGACCCATAGACCAATGGAACAGACTAGATAGCCCAGATATAAACCTAAGCATATATGGTCAATTAATATACAATAAAGAAGCCATGGACATACAAGGGGGGCAGGACAGCCTCTTCAACAAGTGGTGTTGGCAAAACTGGACAGCTACATGTAAGAGAATGAAACTGGATTATTGTCTAACCCCATATACAAAAGTAAACTCGTAATGGATCAAATACCTGAGTGTAGGTCATGAAACCATAAAACTCTTAGAAGACAACATAGGCAAAAATCTCCTGAATATAAACATGAGCAACTTTTTTTCTGAATGCATCTCCTTGAGCAAGGGAAACAAAAGCAAAAATGAACACATGGGACTACATCAAACTAAAAAGCTTCTGTACAGCAAAGGACAGCATGAACAGAACAAAAAGGCATCCTACAGTATGGAGAACATATTTGTAAATGACATATTGAATAGGGGGTTAGTGTCCAAAATATACTCACATGCCTCAACACCCAAAAAGCAAATAACCCAATTAAGAAATGGGTAGAGGATATGAACAGACAATTCTCCAAGAAGAAATTCAGATGGCCAACAGGTACATGAAAAGATGTTCCACATCACTAATTATCAGGGAAATGCAAATAAAATCCACAATGAGATATCATCTCATACCCGTTAGCATGGCCAGCATTGAATAGACTAAGAACAACAAGTGCTGGTGAGGATGCGGAGAAAGGGGAACCCTCCTACACTACTGGTGGGAATGTAAGCTAGTTCAACTATGTGGAAAGCAATATGGAGGTTCCTCAAAAAACTAAAAATAGAAATCCCATTTGACCTGGAGTTCCACTCCTAGTAATTTACCCAAAGAAAACAACTTCTCAGATTCAAAAAGACATATGCACCTCTATGTTTATTGCAGCAGTATTTGCAATAGCCAAGATATGGAAGCAACCTAACTGTCCATCAGTGGATGAATGGATAAAGAAGATGTGGTACATATACACAATGGAATATTATTCAGCCATAAGAAGAAAACAAATCCTACCATTTGCAACAACATGGATGGAGCTAGAGGGTATTATGCTCAGTGAAATAAGTCAGGCAGAGAAAGACAAATACCAAATGATTTCCCTCATTTGTGGAGTATAAAAATGAAGCAAAAATGAAGGAAGG